TCCTTCCTAGTTCTGCTTCTCAGATGATATCAGCACTAAAGGTGTATTGTGTGGGGTGTGTGTGTGTGTGTGTGTGTGTGTGTGTGTGTGTGTGAGAGAGAGAGAGAGAGAGAGAGAGAGAGAGAGAGAGAGAGAGAGAAGAGAGAGAGCATTTTATCCTGAGAACTGAGAACAGACCTGTGGCTGAATCTGGGGAAGTTGCCTTACACCTTATGACCCATTTCCTGCACTTGGAACAGGGATTTCGCTGAGAAAGGCCTATCACCTTGGGAATGCTGTGGCAATCACAACTCTCTCGCACACCCCAGTTAATGTGAAGACCGACCAGACACATCTGCAGACGACTGCACAGATGAGGAACAAAGACCAGAGTGCCCCCTCCCAGCTGTAAGGTGCCCACAGACTCCTAGGTCTGAAGGCTTGGCTGCCAGCTGGTGGTACTGTTTGGGGCAAGACACGGAACCTTAGAGGGCAGTGTCTTGAAGTGGGTGACTGAGATCAGGCCTTGAGGTCTATCCACCAGTCCTGCTTCCGTGGGTCTCTGTCCCATGTCCTGCCAAATGTAAGGAGTCCCAGGAAAGTTTCCAATGGCCATGGAGCTGCCTGCCACCACCTTTACCTCCATGATGCACTTGAACCAAAACAAAATCTTCGTTTTCGGTTGCTTTTGTCAGTTACTTGGCTACAACTATGAGAGAAGTAACCAATGTAGAAAGGAAATCCAATTCCTATGTGGTCGGAGGCTGATGGCGGCCCGCTGTCCTGTTAACCATGGTGTATACCCTTAGTGAGCCATGCCTTGGCCTTTCCAGAGCTCAGAAGGCATTTCAAAGATAGTAACCAAACAATCAATACCAGTTATCCTGTTTCTCTGGGGCTGGTCAAGAGCAGAGCTCAGGGGGAAAGCGGATAAATTTCTCTCCAGCCAGGGCTATTAGAACTACAGGCAGCTCCTGTTGCTGTACAATCACAGTAATCCACAAACTAACCTCCTTCAAGTATTCAGGTCCATAAAAATGAGAGTTGTTGCTTTAAAAAAAATACCTGTCAATGATTCTTGAATCAAAATTCATCCAGATGTGTGGATGACCTGGCCTACATAATGAGGGTCACCAAAGATGTGCCCAGTAACAGCCATCTGGTCACAAGGTGAGACAGCTAAGGGGCATCCCTTCCGGAAATAGTGCACTCTGTGGCTAGCCTACCTGCCGGAAGGCAGGCGGACATTATTCACTACCCTAGCTAAGCTTTCCACCAGCTTCCCAAGTGGGGCGACGGTTGGTTCAAGTTACTCTATGGGAAATGACAAGGACGTGAGGAGACCGTAAAATCAGCCAGTAGAAGATGAGTTCCGTTTCTTGGACTTACCTGTATCCGTGTGGTCCAAATGCATCTGTGACTCGCCATGGCCATGGACTATTTTCTCCTGCATGTATGCTTTCCGAGTAGATCTGTCTTCTGTGGCTGGACTCTTTCTCCCGGACCTCGTGTCGTTAGTGTGAGCTGTGCATGGTGAGGATCCTGGGATGCATGTGCCCCCGTCATACCCTCCAGATCCTCCTGACAGCCTCAGTTTCCAGTGCCCACCATTGCACTTCATTGCATTCCCCCATTGTGTGTGTCAAGGGCAGATGGGTGAGAAAGGTTGAGAGGCCTGAGCTAAGGGACCAGGTAACAGATTCAGCGATCAGATTTCACATAAGCTTGGTTTTCCTGTCACCACCAGCAGAGGATCACAGACTTTGGTCTTAAATTTGGGATCTGGTGTATAACTAACTCGGTGACCTGGGACCCCTCACTTAACTTTCCCAAGTACCCCCATGCCTGTCAACAAAATGGAGTAGGGGACTGGCAAAGCACACTGTTTGGGGCTGCTCTGATGCACCTAACCTCAAAACAAGTTCACTGGAGTCCCTAATAAATGAGAGAGGTGACACACTCTACTCTTGGACTCTTGCGTACAGGGACAAGTGCAAAAAGTACACGCCAGCCCTGAGGCCAGAGGACCTGTCAACGTGGGGATAGCCATAGACAAGAGCGACTATACCTAACTGACACCTATCAACCTGTATTCCTGCCCTCCGCGCTGTCTGTCACATCTGCTTAGTAAGTTCTCTCAAGGGTGTCGCTCGGGTTGCATAATGACTTTGCAGGTCTGGAAGACATTGGCTTTTAACTGCTGGAAAAATTCAGCTTATACAATGCCCATCCAGAGATGCCAGAACTTATCTAGAGGATCCTGAAAATGGAGTTCATCACAGGAGGGAAGAAAAGGATCCAGCGCATTGGCAAGAGGCTGGCGGAAGAATTGAGGGTGGTGACGTCAGGATAAATTGCTTGTGTGCCCATTTTCCAGCATGCAAAGATGGTCCTGTTGGTTTCCTTACTTATTTCTTCTTTCATCCCTCCTTCCTGCTTTTCCCTTCCCCTACCTTCTCTTTCCCCTCTAATCTATTGTCAACCCTTGCAGGACATCTTATGCTGCACTGAGATGAATTAAACTCAGTATCTGAACTCTTCTTCCTGTTCCATGAACTATGCCTTGGAATGTCAAATCATAGTTTTCTGACTGAAAGACTGAGTTCAAATCTTGCCCTCTCCTTTGCTTCTTTCGTCTCATGTCAGTGCAACAAAGAGGAGGCTTTTCTCTCCTCCTCTTGGTTCTTGTACCATTCTTGTCTCGCCCCTTTCCCCACCTCGCCACCCCTGTAGAATCACAGCCTGCTTTTGGGTGTGCAAGATGTCAAGCGAGTGGACCAATGAGCCTGTGGGTTGTTATTGTAGCGTTTCAGGTAGAGATCTGATGATATCACTAGGAGACCATGGCCTGCATCACATTAGGGAGCAAGGCTCCAGGGTCCTCCCTGGATCCCTCTTCTGGTGGAATGCTTGTAATGGTCCTCTGGAAAGTTTCTAGGAGACCCACATCGTTCATATTTGCAATAAACCTTCATCTTGAGCTTCCCTAGATCATCTTCTGATAACCTTAAGTTGCCTTGTTGCCGCCTGCATTAACAATGACCCTCGTGAGACTGTGAAGGGCTGTGCCTAGGGTTGCTGAATTCTGTGCAGAAATATGGGTGGGTCCAGAGAGCTGTCAGCATCCACCCCTGTGCTCAGTTTCTCAGGCTCTTGCAGAAACACCATTTCATCCTATTTCTGCCCCTACGCCATCCTACTGTCCAGAAGACATACAGAGTACTCTCTGGCATCTGGCATCTACGTCTCTACTACTCACAGAATGCAAACACCTTCCCCTTTCAGCCACACACAAAAGTGCCTTTAATGGTTCATCTACACTGTCAACTTGACTGGACTTAGAGTCATCCAAAAGACACACCTCTGGGTGTGTCTGTGAGGGTGTTTCTAGGGAGGCTTAACTGAGAAGTCCTCCCCTGGATGTGGGTATCACCATCCTTGGACTGGGTTGCCAGACTGAGTGTAAAAAGACAAAGGAGGAAACCAGCTGAGTACCTGGTCCTCTGCGCCCTGAGTGCAGAGGCAATGCGAGCCGCTACTCCACGCACCCTCCTGCACGGCTTCCTCACCATAAGGCACTGTGCCCTCCCCAAAGCCCTTCCTTGAGCAGACTTTTGTCACCTACTTTGTCACAGCCTTGAGAAAAGTAATGGATACAGTGCTCATACGGGACAATTCGTGGAGAAGGAAGCTTTGGGTTGAGGGTGGGGAGGCCTGCTTCTCACCAGCTCTCGAACTCAGTTATACAGGAGTTAGAGCGCTGGGCCTCCTCTGGTGGCTTGTACAAGTGCCCAGTCCTTTCCCCCTGAGTTTCAGGCTTGCTCATGTCTTTAGCAGAGTATTTCCCACCAATGTACCTGGGTGACATTCTGTGTTTTAGATCCATCTTGGTAGGTGACAGCATTTGCAGAGTATCTGCAACGGAGTGGGGACCACCTTTTAAACCTCCCAAACTATTCTTATTACAACTTCCAAAGTCCCTGTCATGGCTTCTCTCCTCTGTCTTGTCATCACCAAGGCCGTGTGACTCTTGACAGGGGAGCAATCCTTCCCATCTGTGAGCCGTTCCCATCTGCTGTTGATGGGCCTACATCCAATGAAGACGCTTGGAAGGTCTGTCCAGCCTCCACAAAAGAATGAATCTCTAATGGTGGAAAGTCAAGCATCAGATACAGGGTGGTGCAACCACGATCTTGGAGTGGTTCAGAGGTGCTCCCAAGTGAACTGAAACCCATAAAATCATCTTATACTGGTGTATAATTGTAGTTATATAACTCTAATTCTTATTCAATAGCTAAGTTGTGGCATGGCGAATGAGTTTCAGGCAAAGAGTAAAGTTGTTGGAAGAACAAGAGTACTATACAAAATGAAAAGAACGTCAAATTCGAGTCCCAGCTGTACTGCATGATGCTGAAGGCCCCAAGGTAGGGGGTCAACTAAGACAGAACGACACCTAGGAAACTGGCACTGGTGGCAGCTAGACTGGGTCTGTCCTTTGGATCCTCTGTGCTATCAAGCCACACTTCTTCCTCAATATTTAGAGGGGTTTGGGCAAGCCAAATGTGTAGGTCATGCTCAAGTTTGTGGTTGTATTATTGTGAGTCCTATGGCTGATGGGTACAAACACTGTTCCTAGCTCTCTAGGCAGGCAAGGGGAAGGAGGAGGCGGGATTTAGGAAGTTTAACTTGAGTATCGGGGCTCAAGTATTTGGGTCTCAGGAATATCCAGTCATACCTGTCTTCAAACTTTATTTCTTTTTCAAAAAATTTAAATACCAGTAGAAACAGTCTGTCTTTCCATCAAGCCAGGGTTGAAGATATGTACCCTCTGGAATTGGACCATCACAACCATGTACACTAGAAGGGATGTGTTGGGGACATGCTCTGGAGACTGGTACCTCTGGGTATCCATCCTGCAAGGCAGGTAACCTTACGTAAAAGCCTCCTTTATCTTCCAACTGCCATAGTTTCCTCTAGTTGCATTCAGAGGCTCTGCGATGAGCTAAGCATGGCTCAAAGGTCTGATTGCTGAACATGACGTTAACATGTAACAAAAAAACACTATGGCAGCTACAAGAACCATGAGGGCAAAGATGGCAGGAGACCATGTGCATGTCATCAGAGCTCTTGGGTGGATGGGAAACCCCTGATGCTGTCCTATCCTAACTCATAATGAGCCTGCAGGGGAAGCATGTCATTACTTGATCAACAGCAAGAAATTCAATCTTTCCTGGCAGATACTGTAGCAACTGCGTCCTTAGCAGTGTTTTAAGAGCAAAAAAAGCAAAGATGATTAGCTGAGGAATCTGCTTTCAATTTGATTCTACCTGGAGCCAGGAGCCAAGGCATCACAGCTATATATATATAGAGAGAGCCTCCTTCTATGTGTACTTTCATGATTACAACAAAAAGCCTAAAAAGATACTGGCCAGGTTCATGGTATAACTTGGAACACAATCAAATAAGCAGATCTGCGGATCTGGAGAGATAGGGGACAACGAGGAACAAATGGCTAAATGAAAAAGGATAAAATGGGACTCCATTCTGCAAGAACCAGGACCAGCTATGAACTGTAGAAAACCACCAGAGAATCACAAGCTCAAGATGGGAACACAGCCCCATTCGGCTTTCCCAAACACAACAGTAGGCAGAGTACATAAATTTGAAGGTGAAGAATTATTTTAATAAAAAATTTTAATTGTTTCTGAATCCTGGCCTGTGGATAGGCTTCCCAGGGGATCCAGGATGATTGACTGTACCCTTGCTGGGACCCTGGCAGCTGGACAAGCAGCTAGACCAGCCTCCTTTCTATTCACAGCCCTACCCAGGAAGTCTGCCAGAGGGGTATGCTGTGGAGCAGTCCTATTCCAGAAGATATAGCCTCCCCAAATAGCCTCCAAGTCTGCCAGAACCTTCTAACTAGCCTCCCTCCTCCATCTAGCAGGGCTGGCTGTGCCCGAGAATGCCAAGCCACTGGCTATCTTAAGAGGCCCTATCCATGCCTCTTTCTGTTCAGTGGGGTGTGCACCTACGATCCTGGGCAATCAACTCTACCTCTGTACTTCATCCAATAAGGAAAGTCATTGAGATGTACTTGCTGCAACTAAAACTTCTGTCTGGGGAATAATTACTACACTCTCACTGCTAAGGTGCCCCCAAGTGAATTTAAGGAACAGTAAATATTAAATGAAGGCGTGGCAATTCCAGACAGGCAGCCATACTCTTTCCCAAGATTTTTTTAATTTTAATTATGTGTACTTGTGTATGTGGGGGTGGGGTACATGAATGTACTTGCCCTTGGGAGCCAGAATGGGACATCAGATGTCCTGGAGCTGGAGTTACCGGCAGTTGTGTGAGTCATTTTATGTGGGCACTGGGAACTGAACTCAGGTCCTCTGCAAAAGCAATATGAGGTCTTAACCACTGAGCTGTCTCTCCAATCCTCCTTGCCCCTGGTAGCCAAAACTGCCCCTGGGTGCTAAAAAGACAAGTCTATTCTACACTTTCTACACATACACTACACTTGTAAGACCCCTCGAGCCAACAAGACCTTTTATAAACAGCTACAGCTTGGCCATTGGTCTCTAAAAACTCCGTCCATGCCTTCTCAGCCACCGCTCAGCTGGTGAATATCGGAGGCCATCTTACTTTGCTGTCTGTAATGCACAAGTGTGTATAATAAAGCAATTTTCTTGACTCCCTTTTCCCACTGTTTTGCTTTTAAATGATGACCTTTAGTGGTGTGTGTTGGGGAAGAATGCACGCACACACGTGCTAGCCAAGAAATGATGAACTCTGAACCCAGGAAGCCTGAAACAACTTTTCATCCACACATTTGTTAATTTTGACGGATATATAGTGTCAAGCCAAATATCTTTCCCACCTGTATAGATTTTGTGATTCCATTGCTCTTTTACATGTATGCCATTAGTGAGAGGCTGTTACTCTTACATGTATGCCATCAGTGAGAGAGACTATCACTCTTTTACATAAGAGGCTATCACTCTTTCTCATACATGTCATCAATGAGAGGCTGTCACTCTTACTCTTACATGTATGCCATCAGCGAGAGGCTGTCACTCATTTACATGTAGCCATCAGTGAGAGAGGCTATATGTTGGGATTCCAGGTTTTCCCCTGCCTCTCGAGGTGCAAATCAAGGACTCTTTTTGCTAACCAGCTAAAGCTTCCTGCTAGTTCCGTGCTTTCTACTCTAGCCTGGTAAAATAGCCATATGGCTTTTATATTACTTTGAAATGGAAATTTTTCAACCTGCCCGGGAGAGCCCAGGCGCCAAGGTCCCTCTACCCTGTCTGACACTGACCTGCACCCCTCGCCAACCTGCCTGGGAAGGACCTGTCACAGGGCACCAGGCTCTTAACGCTTTGATCTCACTCCTGACTGGGAGGGGGTTCTCCTCTTTTGGAGGCAAAGTATATTAACCCTGAATTAAGCTAAATAAATGGGCATTCTCCTCTTGGCGAATGACTCAAACTCTCTGTATATGTCTATGTCTTATGTTTAACCCCTAGGACCTTACCCAGCTCATGGAAGGTTATGGAGCCATGGTCCATACTGGGTGGGTGATGATGCAGACTCGGTGACATTTGCCACAGCTATGCTCTTTTACATATATGCTGTCAGCAAGAGGCTGTCACTTTTACATGTATGCTGTCAGTGAGAGAGGCTGTCACTCTTGTGCTTGCTCCTCTTCGCTCGCTCTTCTCAACGCTCCTTCCCTAAGCTCCTCCCCTCATGTTGTCCTCGTGCCATGACGTGTTCACTTGGCCATGGATATTTTCTTAAGCATTCTAACTTGGCAAGAGGTCATGCTATTTAATGCTTGGGATTTTTATCTTGTTTCATTTCTACTGTTTCTCTTTTCAGTTCTTTACCCCACCCCACCCTCTAAAACACCTTACAGAGAAATGTTGAATTGTTCAGACACACTCCTCACCTCAACCCTTAGCTCCAAGTCTCTACCTCATCATCTTTTTAGGTGCCATAGTCCAATTCCCACTCCCCATTCACTGGTTTTCTCTTCAGTCCCATTCACTCTGCTATTGGAACTGATCTGTTGGTTTTAAATGTTTAGCAATTTGGTTCCCAAGAGCTCTTTGCGTATCTGCTAGCCACATTTATTTCCAAGCTCCATTCTGCTTACACATCGCCTTTCCTTTGCTGTGAATTCTGTTGATGTCAGTACAACTTCTCTAATTCCTCATACATGATGTTCATTTGTGTATGAGAAAAATGCTGTATGCACTCTTGGCAAGTTTTGCTTCCTTCTGTCCAACACGGGGAAGGTATCTGTCATTGGTAGACTAGCAGGGATGTCTGCCTCTTGGCTTGTGTAGACTGAAGAGCTCCACTTGGACCTTGCAACCCAAATGTCTGAGAAAGTCCAGGATAGGGGCACTTACAGGGCAATCACCGTGACTATCTGCTCATCCCAGCAGTCACAGCCACTCCCTCCACTGTGTGCTCTCAGCTCCCTTCCACCCCACACCTGTCACTTAGAAGCAAAAGCACACTTTTTACAGGTCACTTCTACGACAGTATTCACAGCAATGCCTCCATCAGAAAACTGGCTGCACTGGCTTTCCATGTTTCCCAGATGTCTTCCAGTTTTAATGCATCGAAGACAGTTCCTGCTTTTGGACCCGCCAATGGTTTTAAAGCATATACTGTTCTTCCTTGGGATTTTGAGTGGAAAGGTGAAGTTTTCACTTTTGTTTAATCCCCCTTCTTGAGCCAAAACACATGATATGTTCTCAATAAATAGTTGTTGGATGGATGGATGAATGGATGGATGGATGGATGGATGGATGGATGGATGGATGGATGGATGGGTGGATGAATGGATGGATTTAACGTTTCTTTACCATTTAAAAAAATTTCAACTTTGGAAAAGAAGTATTGCATCACGAATTTAGTAGACTGACTTCTTGTCTCTCTTGCCATTCAATTTGAGTGTATAACCCTCCTAATGGCCCAAGTAGCAGACTTTTTTGTTTACAAGAATCTCTAGAAATTGTTCCAAGAATTTCTAGATTCCCCAAGGATAACCTTGCAAAGAACCTAAGGGTTTCATCACTAACAGATGTCACAGCAGTTAACCCCTATGTAGTGGCTCTTGATTGCAAGTTTAATTTCCCTAGAGTATTCAAGAAACTTTGGTTCTGGGGGATGAGTTGGGTCTTTAACAGCACATAAAGTTCATGAAACCAGCCTCCCACCTTCACGTTTGAAGTACGCATTGAAGTTCTATGTGATGCCTAATTTTACCTCATCTGAGTAAAAGCCAGGCTATGGTTTTCTTTTCTGACATTCACCTTCCCTGACAAGCAGCAGTCAGTCAGCAAATGTACTGTAGCATCTCACAGACAGGGACAGAGCCAAGCCAAGGACATGAATGATCTCAGAAGATAGAGAGATACACACAAATTGTGAAGGAAGATTGCTCAACAAAAAGTGAACAGATGACTACTTCTTGTTGAGGTAAATAGTAAAGGGCATGCTGCTAAATCTGTAGGGAAATTATGCAAGTATTTTTTCCCCCAAATCTAGAGGATGAGCCCTCACGTGGACTGGCACCATGGTGATACAGTATCACTGTGTAACTCCATAAAGATGTAGATTAATTTCTCAAAATGATGCCATCTGATTCCACTGGAGAGTATAGTCTACCCTCTTCTTAAAATTTTGATTCCTCTTTCAACTCATCTGGGCCCTACCCTGTCCCTGAGGCTCAGTTCAGTTTCATTTCCGGAAATCATTCTTTGGCTTCTCAGAATATGAATATTCTTTCTGCCCATCAATATAGATGCTACCAGTCACTTTGACAGGTCAAGTGTTGAACCACCTTAGTTTAAAGTTATGTCCTTCAGTTCTGATTACATAAAATACAGAAATTGGGGGGGGGCAAAGGACAAGCCGGTAGGAAGGTAAGGAGAGCAGCTATGAAAGTATTCAATTATTGCTAAAGCAAAACTCCTTAACCTGGAATTGAATAAAGTTAAGTTTGCTCTTCAACCAAAATAAAATCTAGCTTGTTCAGTCACTGGTTCTCAATGGGCATAGACCATTAGGATACAGCCACAGTGAGGACCTGAAAGAGAACGAACTGTCACCACTTTTGGGACTCACTAGGAAACAAGTGAAAAACATTCAGAAGCATTCAAAGAAGGGTGGACTTAGGACCAAATCGTCCAAAATAAGGTTGTGTGTTGAGAACGCTGCTCTCTAAGGCAGAGTGTGGCTATCTTTTTAAAGGCCCCATCATATGTCTTCATAGAAAATGTTTCTGAGCTTGAAGGCAATAATATCCGTTGTAGGAAAGTCAAGGGGCGAGTGGAAATGAAAGCCAAGCCTCCCAAACCCTTGCTGTGCTGCTCAAGTTCCTGCCTACTGACGCAGCTGCAAGCTCAGGAGGGCAGAGTCACGCCTTCATTTCAGTCCTCTCAGTACTCAGACAGCACTCAGCACATAGTAGGTGTTTTAAGATATGGTTGAATTAATGAATGAACACATTAGTAACTAACTTTTTAGGCCCTCTGCCTCTCCTTACTCTAAACCATTTTTGTACTAGGAAGATGTGTCAATAAATCTGTTTTTAAAGTATTCTTTGAAAACCCTACAACCACCCCCCTCTCAGTCCAGAGAGGTTGGTGATTCTCTGGGAACTGTTGCTCCAGATTCTCCAGAGGCGGCCCTTGAGACCAGTACCTTCAGGGCCTTTCCCTCCATCACCCTTCAGATAAACAGGCTCTCAACCCAGTTTCAGTATGATCAAACTCTTGATCTACACCTGGATGCTCACGTACAAAACCATAGTTTCAGATGCTGAAGAGGTAGAAAAAAAAGGAACCACTCAAGGAGTTGCGGTCAAATTCAATGTTCTGCTTTAATGAGTCTGGGCAAGGACTCTGCCTTACAAGATACTTTAGCAAGGACTCTTCTGCTTTGCCTTGTCTTGAGGCTTCTGCAAAGAGCACTGAGCCAAACCCTTACTTTAAGAGATTATGGAAGAAGGAGAAGGAACAAGTGTGCTAACAAGATATGAACAAGGCCCATGTCAAAAGATCAATAAGAGTTTAGGGCCTCCTACCTAGGCATGGACCTGCTAGCAGGTACTTCCCTGGTTCACTGTTTATGGACCTGTTAAATGGAAGAAATCAGACTTCTTGAAATGGTCTGCCTAGAACCAGCTGGCTTTCCCACTGTGGCCAGAGGCTATCTCACTGCCGGAGCCTTGCAAATAGGTCGAGGCTTGCCATCTGTCCCCCACTTCTGCTAGTGACCCAAGCAGCAAGGATCAGCCATGTCTTCCAAATGGGAGATGGTATTAGCACCCCCAGAGAGTGGGGTCTGGCAAAGCTGAAGAGGTCCCCAAGAGCTGAGTACTCCAGCAGTGGTCAGATAGCTGGGTATACATGCCAGAGACTGTAAACAAAATCAAAGTGAGGGGTGGAGATTTAATAGCCTCTGGGATAAATTGTCTGTGTGAGAACACAGAGGCTCAGATAGGATTTCCACACCTCCTGGGAGCCCAGCGAGCTCCAGGCATCCAGAATAAGAAGGCTTGATCCCTTTTGCTGCTCAGCCCCTCCCATCTCAAATTTTCTGTACCTTCTACCCCAATCCTCCCTTCATTCATGAACACCATCCTCCAACCCCTGAGACCCCAAGGCCAAGCCAGGATCCCACTGGGGCTACTGTATTCGACTGGGACAAAGATTAAATAGAACTCAGTGTAGCCCATCTGGGATTTCCTCCTTGCAGAGTCTAGTCAAGCAGTCAGTGATGTGCAGTGTGAGTTTCCCATTCCCATTCTCCAGGTCACCAGGCTGCAATGGGCCCTCCACGGGGGAGCTCGCCCATCTAAAGCTGATCTGACAGTTCCTTGCCACCAAGATGAGCAGAAAAGTGAATAACGACTGAGCAGAAGTCTGAACACCTCTTAGACACATTCCCGAAGTTAATCGGTTCATTTTCAAGTGTCTATGATAGCCTAACAAGTTCAAGGACAATGCTGGGTCCTAGGGATATAGAGATAAATAAGACATGATCCCTGTCCTAAAGATTCTTTGCCCAGGGAAAAGTCCTTGACTGAAAGGTAATTTCTGGATAGAAAAGTGAGGGTCTTGGAAGGCCTTCTATGAAAGATCTAGGAACAGCAACCAAGAAAAACTCTTGTATAACTCCTGAGAGCCACTGTAAGCAGTGAGGGAAGTTAACCACCTTAAAACAATAGGGGGATTAAGTCAAGAAGAGGAAGCTGCTGAGCTAAGTGTGGGTGTGAAGCCTGCACAGGGCATCAAAGGATGGTGATGGGAGATGCCCACTCCTAGGAGGGACCACTCAGGGTGGAAGTAGTAGAGGGCAGACATTGGGTGCAAAGCTGCCAGGAAGAGTGAACAGGAGAGTGGAGTAGAAAGTGGGCCCCATTCACTATGTGCCTACAAGGGAGGCAGATGCCAACAGAATATACAGAAAGACAACAGAAGGAAAGCGTGACCTGCATGCTTAGCAGTCCTGTGCAGGGAGTGGAGAGACCGAGGCCCCGAGAAGGCAGGAGGTGGCTGTTGTGAAGATGCCATGAGTTGGAAGCTAGGTAGTGCAGATAAAAACAGACAAGAGCCACCCTTGCAAGCAGTCAGAAGGGAAAATCAATGGGGCCAGGGACCACATAAGAGGAGTCACCAAAACGAGAAGGAGCTGTGAAGGTGCCCAGCTGGGTTGAGCTATCTCCAAGATCCAGAATAAGTCAAACCTCAAGCCGTTGAAGGCAGTATTTACCAAGACCATAGGTAATAAAGGAAAAAAAGACAGAGGTGTGGAGTTACCCAGACTCCAGGCACGAAAAACAACTGGGATTCAGGTCCCACTGCAAACAAAGGCTGCCAGAAGCTTCTATAAGATGCTCGCAAGCTCCGGTCTTCCAGTGAGGCAGACAGAAAAGCAGGACAGGGAGACTGGAAGCTGCCAGCTAGAGAAAGACAGACAAGAAAGGGGGTGGCACTGTCTCGGAAGGTGAGGCAGAGGCAGAGCCAGAGTCAACCGTGGCCTCCCCTCGAGCCCCTCTGGCTTTGAGAACTGAGAAGTGGAGTCCGCTGGGCTTGTGATGTGAAACTTAGTCGTGATTCAGTCCATTGGGTTTACAGGCAGAACCTGAGTTAGGAAGGTTGAGAAGTGAAGGGGAGGGGTGGTTACCTCACAGACACCAACTGCAGGCAGGACTTGTAAGACCTTTAACTATAAAAGAAAGTGGTGACAGGCCAGTGTCTATAGGGTTGAGAATGGCTAGTCAGAGCCTGGAGAAGAGCCGGTAGGGGGACAAATGCTTAAGAGGGAAAGGGAAGAGGCAGGACTAATGGTGAAAGTTCAGCGTTAGTCAAAAACAAGAGAACTATCAGCAAGTTACGGAAGGAGATGCATAGCAGGAAGGGAACCAGCAATGAGGAGGTTCATCCTCATACAACTAAAGTGACTTAGGCCTTGGGATGAGAGGGCAAATTTCATGAGAACTGTCATCAAGAGTAGAAATTGGGCTGAGGAGTCAGCTCTGTGTGCACTTCCACTAGCTAATGTGGGGATGGATATAGAGCCGCAGGGCAGGAGGTGAAGGCTTTGGACAACACTGGCGTAAGCCAGAGTCACAGATCTTGTGCTGGCCAAAGTCCACCACGCCACGCTGTGTGGACTGCAGCAGCTCTCAGCTGCCCCCAAAAGAGAGCAGAGGATTTCCAGCTACTTAGGGCCACAACTTTGTGTCTGATGGCATGGATGGGGGGAGCAGACCGCTGCAGAGGCAGAGACACTACAGGTCAGGAAAAGCAAGCCAAGATCCCAGGGGCCCTATGAAGCATCTCAGGAAGAAACGGAAAGGCTTCCGAAGTCTTGATACTGGAAGAGGACGTCGTGTGATAATGTGGGGGATGGGGTGGGGACTGTGAAGATGAGAAATTGAGATGAGGAGACCTTAGCATTGCCATTGCCAGCTTCTAGAGGAAAGGTGACTCTGAGTAGCAGGTGGGGACCGGGTGGTTTTACAGGACAGGGGCCCAGAAAGCCTTTGCTGCTGAGACAGTGCAGCACCATGCTTCGGCAGACCTTCGGTAGGAACTCCACTGTGGAACTGCTCTTAGAGCTTTGTGCCTTCCTCCTGCCCCCACTGCAGCCCACTTGCAGTGTAAGAGTACGCTCAGAAACTGGCAGACCCTCATGGGACTCCAGGGCTGTGTCTTTAAGTCAGGAGAGGTCTAGATAATCTAAGCTTCACTTGTTCCCAGCCTCCAACCCAGACACCAACCTCTCCCCCAGCACCCTTCTTGCTGATCTATAAATTTGGGTTCTTAAGCCTTCATGGATCCAACAGAAGTTTTGATGCCCACTGCAAGCGTTGTCATGGATGCTAATCTGGTAGATTTTCCTCCCCACCTCCTCGTCACTCTTCCCCAAGATCTGTCTCCCAGGGCACACACTCCGTCTGCTGCCAGACACCTCTGTCATGCCCAGGTTATATACTTAGTGCTTGTGTTTGGGCCTCTCCAAGTCCAAGTGGTGAAGATCAGACGTGCATTTGGGGATGGACCTAGCTCAGTTCTTTTCTTTCACCTGACTCTAGGCCACCACTGAGCAAACAAGTCCCCTAACTCTAGGCCACTGAGCCAACAAGCCTCCATGAGCTGAGGAAGCTGCTGCCACCCAATCTCTGTCCTCTTAAGCTAGCCCATCATTATGGTGCTGTGTAACAAACAGCCCTGTGCTAGGGAATAGAGAGGGTATTGTTTGGATTTCCCAGAGATCTTTGGCACGGACAAAGTTGAGGAAAGGGAGGCTCAGAGAAGTTCAATAACCTATTCCTATGTCACACAGCTTGCAAGTGGCTGAGCTGGGATTCAACTCCAGGCCTGTCTTCTACAAAGGTAAGCACCACGAACCTCTCCTCCCCAAGCCAGAGCTTGTGATAAACTCATGCCATCATTCATTTGTTCATCCATATAGCTGTTGATTCATTTACCAAGGTTGAACATTTCTGAAAGTGACTGCAAACACAAGTATTTTAAGGATCAGAATGGTCGTGTTGTGCATACAAAAGGCTCTGGTGAGTGAGGTCTGAAGTAGAAGCCATTTCTTAGGGCAATCTTACACACCACCTTCCACAGCCAGAAAAGCTCTACAAACCCTTCAATCACTTTTGTTCTTGCTTACAGAATATGAGAGAGAACTTATAGGAACTACACTGTGGCACTGTTGTCTGCCTTGAATTTTCCCAGCAGCCTTCCCCCCGAAATTCCTTCATTACTTTTATTGCCGGGACGACATGTCAAGCTTGGGGGAGTCTAGCAGTTCCCCACTTGCTCAGCATCCCAATGCTCACACCCCACCCATCCTCCCACCACCAAAGCTCCATCTATCACCTAGGCTGGGCAGGTCCCGAAGTCCCTTCTCTCAAAGCTCTGGACTTGTCAGACAAGTTGAGGGAAGTGTGTAGCAGGAGGGGCCTGGGCATCGAAGTGACTTCTAAAGCAAAATGGTTCCAGAAAAAAAGGAGCTCTGGGGAGCATCAGAAATCATAACATGGAGAAAGAGTGGCTAAGGAGTACTGAGAAGCACGCCCGGCTCTTCCACCATTTGATAACAAAATAACGTGGTTTTTGTTTTTTTTTTCCCTCCCAGCAACCTTCCCCAGACTGAAGAGCTGCTGCTTTGCAGTTTCTGCAGTCACACTGGCCACACTTGGGTCCTCAAGAATGAGAAGGAGGCTAAGGAGGGACGCTCCTCCAGCTGCGCGAGCCGGCCTGCTCCTGCTCTGCAGGGACCACTTAGTTCCACTTTAGGAATCTGCCTGTCCTGAGAGGCACAATTCTTGGTTTGTTCCTGCTGTGCTGAACGGCACTCATTCTCCCCACCCAGGTGGGGCGCCCAGCTGGGGTCACACTTAATGTAGGATATCAGGCCCAAGTGCACCTGACAATACAGTAATGTAGTCTGTCTCCCCAGGATAACTGTTAGAGCCCATTGGGTGGATCCAATCGCTGTCCCGCCACTGGATTCGGTGTCAGTGGAAAAGGGAAATGATTAGCACCTTCCCTGGAAGAAGCCACCTAGAACATGGAAGAAACATCCGTGCTCATGCTAGTGACTTCGGATCCCGTAGCAGGCATTAACACGAGCTGAAAAGATAGTCTGGATTTGGTTCTGAGCCTGACAGGCAGCAGAATATAGGTATGACTCCTGATGTAAACGAGGTTAACAAGTCAGTTTCAACTTCATGAGCCTGGGTGGCTGATCACAGACAGCCATGGCCCTTTGTCATTAGGTCCTGGAATAGAAACCCTCTGCTCCAATACTTCCTGCTGTTCTCATACCAGCATGACAGAGTTAATATGACACCAAGGAAAATGTTGGGCCTGCAGGATGCTGACAATCCAGTTTGGGTACCTGAACGTCTGATGCGTGCTGTGGATTTTCCTGTCCAGAAGCCTGAAGACAGGACAGAGCCAAGAGATCAAATAGACACCAGCTTGTCAACTGAAGAGTTGCTGGGATCCTGAGGAGCTGGCTGTGGTGGTCCGAGTGCCAAGGATTGTTCATCTACCTATCGACCCATCCCACGATATTGGCAGCCATGGCTGTGGCAGACAAAGCAGCTACAGCTGCTGGATTTTCCATTAGTCAGTCAGTTGCTTCTGCTAGCACAATGGATATCTTCTCAGGGCAGGTTGCAAATGCCTTGGCCATTCAAATTGAGATAAATTTACAAATAAATATTGCAGTTAATTTTGTAATTGGTTATGGTTTATGACCTCTGCTAGGTTATAGTAAAGGCGTATTGCTGTTATTCATGGACCCTGGAATGCACAAATTACAAATTGGCTATTGACATTATTCTAGTTAGCTATACCAGGGTTCCTTCCACCAGTACTGAGACCTTACTTAAAGGGCTCCAATTTGGGCAGACTTATTAAGGATTGAGCAGACACCGTATGCTTATATGTGCTGGAGCATCATCTTCATGTTTTCATGGTGCCAGAGCCAAAGGCAAGCTCAGGTCAATGTTGCCACATGGCAAGTCCTCTTAGCTATTATTGCCCCAGAGAATCTTTCAGCACAAATCTGGCTGAACTCAATGATGGGTGACTAATGAGCCAATAATGGGAAAGGTTTGGGGGGGCAGCCCCAACCTAAGACAGGAAATGTGTTTTAACCTGGATGCTTTCCCATGATGGGTAAGAGGTATTGCATGACATCCAATGCCACCCAAGACAGGCCTAGTCATATAATTTATATAAAAGGGGGACCTGTAGGGCCCGGGTCTGCCCCTGCTCCTGGGGTGCATCTTGAGGACAGTTTCTGGTCAGCCAGCTAAAACATCCAGTTTGTTCCTGTGCTCCCTCTGCCAGGCCTGGTGATTAGCTGTAGGGTTGTTTCATCTTTGGTATGGTAATTTCCCATCTGCCTGGGCGGAAATCCTTGTGCAGCAGCTAGGTAAATAAGGATTTCCCCAAAGTTGAATAAACTGCATTCAGCTGATCTCCTTTGGAATAACCCAGGTCTCTTGTGTGTTCTTTCAATCTCCAGGCCCTTGTCCGACTCGCGTACAGTACAATGGCACGCGAACTGTACCGAGGGGGCAACACAGAATCGAATGTTACAGGAAAACTAGAACAGAAGCCACCTGGCTCTCTAAAGCAGCCCCAGATGGATTCTGGGTTAGAGTTGTTGGTCCCTAAGGAGTGCATCACAGGGAGGAATCACTCTTTTGCTTCTCATAATGGTCTGTGTTGCAACCAAATCAGAAGGGCTGTCCAGGGTCACTAAGGGTCAAATCAGAAAAAGCCAGTTCTCCCTGCAGCAAACTCCACCAAGGACGGATCCTGTTTTCCAACTCCACATCCCATACTTTGAATCCCTTTTGGGTTTTTAAAGCAAAGCATTACCTGTGGTCAAGAGCTGGATGGCAAAGATGAACGACTTGCAGCACTATTTTGCCTCCCTTGGTAGGGCTAGGGGTGGTATTCATTGATCTGTTGTTTTGTTCTTTGTTGTTTTTTGTTTTGTTTTGTTTTGTTTCATTTCGTTTTTTTTTTTTTAAGAGAAGCCCCCAGACAGCATTAAAAGCTCACAACAGCATTAAAGATCATCCTGCCTCACTTCTCTGTTTACAGATAAGGAGACTCAGGCCCCAAGAATAAAAGTGACTTGTTCAAGGTCACACAGCAAGTTAGTGGCAATACCCAGGCTGCAGGGCAGATTGGCAGAGTGTGGTGCAAGCCAACACCCGGCTCTCGCCTCCAGCAGGTGCCCCTGGACCCTGTGTTGAAGTGTAGTATCATTTCCTGTTTCTGTTCCGTTCCTCTTAGTTCTGAAGGAACATGTCTTCACTGGAGTAGCTAGGGCTTCCCTTTCAACTAGGTGGGAGGTCTGTCTTTTATATTCCTTAAGTCTCCAAGTCTGTCTCAGACCCAGAGATAAACCACAGAAGAATCCAGACCCTCCTTGGTTCATGTGCACAGCTGTCCTTGCTGCACCAGAGGGGGGGTAGGTAGGAAATAGTCAACACCTTTATAAAGGAAGTCAACAAGCCAGACTGTTCTTCCCCGCTGAACTGTCAGTCTCAAGTCACCCTTAAATCCACCAGTGGCGTTATCATGTAAAGCCCCCCTACAGAAACCAAACTCCAGACTTCAGAATCTGATGTCACATCTGACAGTGGCACCACTACCCTGTCCAGACTAGAAAATCTGATTCACATCTGACGATGGCACCACTACCCTGTCTAAACTAGAAAATCTCATTCACATCTGACAGTGGCACCACTAGCCTGTCTAACCTTGAGAACCTTATTCATATCAGACAGTGGCACCACTACCCTGTCCTGTACTCACTATGCCAACAAAACCAAGTGACCTAAAGCCCCCTGTAGTGGTATCACACGCTGTGTCCATGTTAGGCTCTCATGTCTACCAGATATTCAGAAATCGCTGCAATTCCTTCTGACCCTGTTCCCCAAAACCTTTTATGACCCCTCTTGACGAATCATGTCTGCCCAAATGCAGATCCTGGAATTTTTTTCTCCTTAAATGCAAAACGTCTTTGGATTATTTTCGCCATCCTCGCCTAGGAGAGAGCTCAGTGCACATGATAGCCCTGAATAAGTAGTAGATAAGTGAGCGGGTGTGTGCTATGGAAATAATCCGTCCTCCCTCTGCCACTCATGGCCTGGGAAGAATCAACTACTACAGAAGAGAAAATAGGTGCAGGAACACAAACAACTCAGATGAGAGACAGGTTCCAAAAGAGCGAGGCACCTCCTGCTTAGGGCCTTTCTTCATCTTCATACACTGAAGAGTAAAACGCCAGTACCTGCGTGCAAGAGGAGGGACAGACAGACGCTATGATTTCTGCACACTTTGCAACCAGCATTTGGGGCTGCGGAAACAAATGATACCTCTTTGTCAGTGAGATTCTTTCCCCTTACTTGATTGCTTAAAAGGAGGGAAGATGCCTGCCTTCTGCTGTGACTGTGGTTTTGTTTGTGCTCCTAAACCAAAGTCACCTACTGTTCACAGTGGTCACCAGCACTGAGAGACCCACCCCACTTCTTCATTTGCCTCAGCAGCCAAGAGCAACAGTGCTTTCGAGGAACCCTCCCTCTGCCCATGTGGACCGCAAATGAAGCAGTAGGTGGTGGACATTCCCTCTAGGAAAGAATGTGCACTAGTCACACCAGGGTTTTGTGTAAAGATCACCACCTTTGGGGGTGGATTGCTTTACAACTTACATCTCTTTTCCTGGCTATTTTCCCTCTTAGCCACTAAAGAATCTTTTTAGAGAACAATTCTCCCAGAGTAGCTGCTTAGCTGAGCCAAGAGGAAAAGTTAAAATCTGGGCTTTTCCTCTGTGTGACTTTGAACCTCCCACTAGAAATTCATGGAAGTCCAACTTTTTTGGCTTATGGAGAAAAAGCAACTATAACCTTCCTTGATATTTTAATCTACCTCATAAACTCCAGGCTGGAGAAAAAAAGCTTCTGAAGGCCAAGACAGGTACATGAAGATGCCAGTGTGTGCGTGTGAGTTTGCCCATCAGCCTAGGGCAAATGACTAAGAAGAAACTCTCTGGACATCTTCTTTGTCGGTCATCATGAAGTCTACCTTTCAATATAATGAGAGTTTCAATATAATGAGAGTTTCAATATAATG